GGGGGGGGGGGGGGCGCGGGGGGGGGGGGGGGGGGGGGGGGAAACAACCCCCCCCCCCCCCCCCCATCATCACATGCTGGGGACACTGCCTGCCCTGGGGGTGTTGGGGGTCCCCGGGGTGGGAGCGGAGCCATGGGATGCCGGGTCCCCCCACCCGAGCCCTGCAGCCCCCGGTCCCCAGCCCTGTCCCTGCATGGCCGTGGGCTGGTGCCACCATGGCGTGGCCACTGGCCAGGAGGACACGGCTTCTGCCGGCTGGGGCCAGGGGGGTGCCCGGCAGCCTGGGGACCCCCGAAAAGGGCTGGCAGGGGTGTGGGCTTGGCTGGTTCCCAAGTCCAATCCCTGTTTTCTGGTCGGTGGTCTCTCGGTTCCTTGCCAGTGTTCGCTCGGGATGGGACCAGCAGGAGTGGGTCGAGGTGGCCACAAAATGGCCGGAGGGCTGGAACCCCTCTGCTATGGGGACAGGCTGGGGCGCTGGGGCTGCTGAGCCCCGGCAAGAGACAGCTCCGGGGAGGAAGATGGTGTCAGGGATGGAGCAGTTTGATCTTGCAGATCGCTCCTGTCCCTTTTCCAGCAGCTCTGCCACCCTAACCGCCTTTAACTGGTCTTCAACGACTTCCCAGTTACACTAATTGTCACGAGCCCATTTGTGAGAGACTGAAAGAGTTAATGTCTCAAACATTGTGGTGGGGCAAGTTCAGCTTAAAGACAAACCCTGCACAGTAAGGAACCAAGGTGAAAAGCCCATCAGCTCAGACAGCAGCAACAGGAGAGGGAGGGTGTGCTGGAGGGTGCTCAGCTCCCTGGTCTGACAAGCTGTTCTGATACAAAGATCAAACAATGGCCACGTCTGCAGGGAAGGAGAAGTTACTCCACAAATGACCCCCAAGCCCGAAGGCTCACAAACTGCTCATTAACCTGACAAGTTCGGGTGCCTGCCCGAAGGAGGGGCAAGGATGATAAAAGGACACCAACTGAAGCCCCGGGTGCACAAGCCCACCAGGATTGGACCCCTTGGCTGACTGAACCAACGCTGGACCCAGGACTGGTGAAATCTTTCTCTCTTCCTTTCTCTCTCTCTGTCTTCTTCTCTCTTTCCTTTTCCCTTTCCACAATCCCTACACCTCATCCGTTTCAAGATATAAACCGTTGACCAAACCTGAGACGAAGAGTAGATCCAGCTGCCCCTAGACCCTTCTCTGAGGAGGAGTCTGGAAAGCAAGGGGGTCTGCTCTGAACCTCGGGACTCAACGGGAGGGATCTCCTTATTCCCTGAATTGATGTATATGGTTACATGGTTTACAGAAGTAGTCTTATGCCAATTCCTGTTGTGAGAAACCCTGGCACCTACTACCACGCCTCCCCAGTTCGGTTTGCTTGTGTCATAAATAAAATCTTTAACTGATCATTTGGTGTCATTTCACCTTAATTTAGCCCGAGGGAATTTCAAATTAAACATGACTCCCTGGTCTGTCCAGCCTGGGTCGTGACACCATTCTTCTGAGAAGTTGGGACTCAGATTTGATACGTGCCTATGTAAATAATCAGCAATACTACCTGCTATTCAGCTGACTACAGCAGTTTGTGGTGGATGGAGCTATGGACTTCACTCCTAAGCGAGAAGCAACAACCATCTGATAGAGGGAAGTTCGGTGGTGAATGGGACAGTGGCTTAATGAGATTCGATGCCAGCCTACGCTTGGTTACTTACGGCAGAGAGGACAGGTCAGGGAGACCCTCTCATTGAGTCACGGGGTTGGGAAAGAACCCCCTTGCTTTCTAAACTCCTTCCCAGAGAGGAGTCTAGGTGCAGCTGGATCCAATTCTTGTCCCAGACTTGATCAACAGTTTATATCTAAAGGATGATGGGTGGGCAATTAAACCTTGGCATCGCTTAGCCAGGCTTTCCAAGTTTGCCATGCCATTGATCACTTATCGAGAATCTGTTGCGACAAGGAATTTTTCCACCTCGAGGAGTCACTTGGAGAGGTGTCCCTGTGCACAGAGCTATGGGACGCAGCCGCTGCCGGCCAGGAGAGCTGCCCCCCGGCTACCCCAGCCCCCTTATGCTGAGGGTTGCACCCACCCCCCCGTTGCACGAGGGTCCCTGCACAATCACCACCATTGCACAGGGGTCCTTGCACACCGGCTCCCGTTGCAGAAGGGATCCTGTGCACTCACCCCACAGCAGTCCCTGCACAATTGTCACCATTGCATGGGGGGGGTTCCCCCCACCACTGACCCACATTGCATCGGGCTGTCCCCACAGCTGGTGGTGAGCACCCAGCCCAGTATGGGTTTTGGTGCTGGGGAGCTGTGGGGGGAGGAATGCTAAAGCCGAGCCTTTCGGTGAAGTCCGTAGCAGCTCTGCAAAAACATATTTAAAATGGGTAAAACCCACTGTACAGGCAGAGGGCAAAACAGCTGAGGAGGAGAAGGGGCTGCTCCCCAGCACTGGGGGAAGGAGTTTTAATTTTTGTCTCCATAAGACTTCCAGTGTGCTCCAGTGTACCCAGCACGTCTCAGAGCAACAGGCTGAGGGTCCTTGCTAGCACCTTGTCCCTCTAACCTTGGTGTGTTATCCCACAGGTTGTCATGGGCAAGCCCGATTTCATCCCACTCCCCCTCCAAGTCTAGTTTACAGCTCTGTCAATGAGCCCCGCTAGCTCGTGAGCAAAGGCCCTCTTCCCCCTTTGAGAAAGGCAAATCCCATCTGACACCAGCAGGCCTGGTGCTGCGTAGGCCATCCCATTATCAAAAAAAACCCCAAATTCTGTTGGTGACACCAGCCCCAGAGCCACATATTAATAGACTGGGTCCGCCTGTTTCTTCCAATGTCTTTGCCCGCAACTGGAAGGAGAGATGGAAAACCAGCCCGTGCTCCAGATTCCCTTCCCAACCATCCCAAGGCCTTGAAGTCTGTTTTGATCGCCCTTGGACTACGCGTTGGGGCTTCATGGCCACCCACATGGAAGAACAGTAATGGGCAATAGCCCGAGGGCCATCCCAGGCTGGCAAGTTTCCTAGTGCTGTCCTTAACCTTGGCCCCAGGGAGGCAGCAGGCTTCCCAAAGAGGAGGCTCTGTCCGGCATCTCGGACCCTGTGTTCCCCTCAGAAGGGAGTCACCCACAACCCTAACCCGTCTTGTCTTCCTCGTGGAGGTGGTCGTGGTATGGGGGTAGGTCTTTCTGACCATGGCAACACTTCTGGCGTAGCTGGCCCGTCATCCACATCCTCCGTTGACTGGCCTTCCCCATCCTGAGCCTCATGCCTGTTGTACAGAGGGACCTGGGAAGGCGAGGTGGGCAAGGAGGGGGTTCGCTTGCCACCTCCAGCATGGCCTCACCTCCGTTCACTCCTTTCCTTTCAGCTACTGCCATCAGCCTGGCAGGGGGAGGGCACAGGACCCCCTTGATCTTGCTTTTTTTTTGGTGTCTGTTCATGTTTCTGTTTGAGGGAGGGCAGAGCATGGTTCCAGCAGTCTTTCTTAGATGCCCTGATGCTCCTTCACCTTTCTGCTTCCTCCTGCAGCTCTGCCACCGCTGAGCAGATCATCCACTTGGTGACACCTCACATGGCTGTTCTCACTACTGCCATCCGTTCATAGGGAAATGCTCTGGCACTCCCTGCAGCCTGAGAGCTGGACAGCTGCGTGGTTTCATGGGAGCTCTCTCTGGGTTCCCACATCCATTCCGGTGAGTGCAGAGGACATGGCTTTCTGCCCACCCAAATCTATTTTAATTGGTAACAAGTTAATTTTCCCCAAATTGGGTTTGTTCTGGCTGGGCTGGTAACTGGTGAGCGACCTCCCTGTCTTGATCTTGACCCACGCAGCGGTTTTTGTCCTATTTCTTCCCCATTTCCTCCGGAGGGGGAGCGGGTGAGCGGCTGGGTGGGTGCCAGGCTGCTGCCTAAAGGTAACATGGGGCTTGTTTTGCAAGCCTCCAGTGCGTGAGATGCCGGTCTTGGACTGGGAGCTGGTGGCTGTGCTGGGGATGCCAGGTCTGTCCCCTCTGCTCCCTGCTCCACCTCCCCTTGCTGCGGCTCAGTGTTGCCCAAGGGCTCGGCGGCTGATCCTGCCCCGGGGTTTTGCTGCTTTGTCCCTTCCAGATGTCTCCTCGCTGGACACAGTCCTTGAGCTCCCGAAAGACGCTTTCAACTGCATCAGCCACTGCTGTCCCGGTGCGCTCTACAGCCAGCTCTGCCAGCTCCTGGCTCTGGCCACAGGGAACCAGGACCCCCTCCTCACCGCGT